AATGAATTCCTCTGATTACCAAATATGGTAATAAAATTAATTGCCATTTGTGTGACATATTATTTCGAGGATTGTTATATACAAAGATAATTTTGAGTGTGATTATATACAAAATGGCGCTTCAAACATCACAGGAAAGTGAAAATACCAGTTGGAAGTGCCCATTTAAATCTGGTGGGAAAAGCTTTATATAGAAGACATCGTAATAAATTAATTGTCAACGCTGCAAAAAGGCAGAAGATAGCTATTTATAAACAAGAATGTTCACACCCAAATCACAGAGAATATTCAGTATCCACATCAAAGGATACTAAACCAATAAAACTATCTGACTGTTTAATTGAATTTTTTAACCCTTTACTTAACTCCATGATTTGTAATCATGATGTTAAAAACAATATTGATCCCTGAAATTCTTTTGTAATACCAATGTTCACTTTGTCGGGTTTTGTTGCAGCATGCCCCAAATGATAATTTAGAAGGCTGGTTTAAAACTAACATTTGGAGCATTACAACGGACAATTGTAGATAGAGCTTGTGATGTAGACAACATTGTTCATGTTTTCTAAATATTTATTTTGCAAATCTACATTAAATATATGAAAACTTTCTTTTAGGAGTGAAAGTTGCTCCTGAACCTCAGGTGAATGCAGAAATCTTGAGAGAGATGACCCTAAAATCAAAAACATATAGTACCAAAACTCATGAAGGATGTAATTATGCAAATACATGGGAATGAATTTGTAAAACCTAATCGTTTAGAAATAGTAGGCTTCCTTCATTCAGGCAATAATATAAGGGTCTCTCTAAGTGTCATATGTTTTCTTTCTACGCTCCCTTCTTACGAATATTTTTCCAGGATTTAATTTACAATTATAATAACATTTGTTATAATGACAATCTTGTTATAATGGCATTTTTTAAAAAAACCATATTTATGAATGTAAATTTACTCCCATTATAATGGCACTCACTAATATATAATATAATGTCATAATTTGTCAAAAAAATTTTTTTTATAATTATAGAATTTATTCCGTTATAATGACACTTGTTATAACGACGTGTCCTGCAAATCAATGGGGAGTTTTATATATGCACTGATTTTGTTTGAACCTTAAAATTCAGTGGTAACGTAAAAATCCGTTGGTTCGAGTAGTAAAATTGTTTTTTTTTGGCGGAGCAAATAAAATTGTTTTGACCAGTTACACAATAAGATAACACATGCAAGTCGGATGTAGTAATCAATTGTTTAAAATAAATAAATGACCGACCTATCGGGTTTACATGAACCTATTTAAAATCAATTAATCAAATAAATCTATCAAGAAACAGAGAATTTACGAAAATAATTAGTTTATATGGAATATACCAAACAAAATCCCAATTATTTTATTGGTTTTCTCTCTTAGCACCAGAACCCAAATGGGATTCCAGAGTCTTCAATCCCATTCTGAATTGCAACCTCCGAGCTTGAAAATCCTAATATTTACAACCTCTCAAAATTCTGCAATTCCCTGGTTGATTCGTCATTTTTACCCTAGAAACCTGGCAACTTTTCAGCTAAATTGCTTATCTTGGTTCAGGTACTGCAAGGGAAAATTAGGATTCACAAAAGCGTCCTTGACAATGATGCAGTTCCAGCAACGTTAGTTCAATTGCATCGTTGTATCATCGAGGGGACAAGTCAAATTAGCCTTATGTACATGAGGAAAGTGAGAATGATTGTAATAGTTTTAATAAAGTAGCATATGTACTTTAGCATTTGTAAATTTCCGATAAAATTGTTTTCTGCTTAGGTGCAATTTCCCATCCCATATTCAATAATCATGTTGCCTTCTTTACCCTCAATACTTTCTTGTGATTGTCTAAGCTCTCTATAACGAACCTTCCGATTCAATTTTCCATAATTAATTTCTTTCTACATAACGAACAAAAGCAGAAAAATTACATAGGGACAGAGGGTTCGATGTAGAGAGCTTAGACTGTATTAATAACACCAATTGTTTATTATCATGATAGAGAATCTTAAGAATTACCTAAAAGACATGACAATAAATATTTATTTATTAAAAAAAAAAAATATAAATATATCAATACAAAAAAAAAAGGTAACCTCTGGTCGTTAATAAACAATAAGTAACATGTCTTCTTTAGAGTCATACCAAGTAACATTCATATTTCGTCGTTTTGGAAAAAATTGGTTTTCAATTAGTCCGCGTGTCCCAAAAGAAAAAAAAATTTTTTTACGTGATTTTTTTTTTTAGAAACAAAATGCCAAACAAAAAAACCAAAGGAAAAGAACTTGCTATTTCAAAAGAGTAAATAGTACTATCAGTTATTATTTTTAAAAAGGATGGTGGGTGGGTGCGGTTGTTCGCGACTCGTCATTCTAGTCATTATTAAAAAAATGGTCGCGATTATTGTCCTTGATATTCTAGTTGATTATTTATCACTATTTTTTATTTAATTATCAGTAGTAATAAACAAGTGGCAGTGAATTTACCACTTGAGTTTTTAATCGAAATCTTTGAATACAATGAGGATAATTATATCAATAAACGATGGCACAACATTAGTATTAAATGTTATGGAGATATCCATTTCATTCTTTTGAGAGCATCATAATTGATTGTTTATTGGGAGAAGACAAGGATTTCCTAACTATAACAACATTGAATTAAATTTTAAACCATCAGATATAATGATACTAGATTTTCTACCAGACTTAGTTTTTCCAATTATTTTTATTTACCGGTAAAAAGTGGATTTTGGAGCATTGGGTGCTTACCAGATAGATCTATATTGGATAAATGACTATTTGATAATTGCTTTCTAGATTAATTGATAGAGCTGGATTTATAGACAAATTAATAAATATTTGCAAAGGTATCCAACCATTAAAAATACATTATGATGCATATAACAAAAAAAGCTGAAAGTTTGATTCAACTAATTAAAGTACAAGATTAAATAAAGCAGTTAACTATTAATTCATCTCATAATCAGATAATTCAAAGAAGCAATGCTAGTACATTCACAATCAATAATCTATTTATTATTCAAGTGATGAAAAAAACAATATATATCATATTAATATATTAGTACCAACACTTAAAAACCTAAAGACTTTATTATTATCAATTGATAAATTACAAAATAAAATATTTGAAATATATTTCATTGCCAAACATTGAATCTGTGAACTTAAATATTAGTTATAATAATAATCAGTCAACTCTATCAGACTTGCCTGATTTTATTATGATCAATGGAAAAAATCTGAATCTTTTGGCTGATGAATTTTTGAGAAGTTATTTCAATCAATGACACAATATTGTAAAAAATCTAGTAGATTTATCAACATCATATAGGTGTACAGTAGAGCAGAAGTTAATGGAAATATTCAATCATTGTAAAGAATTAGCTTTAGAAAGCTTTTTATATGGATGAATTAGATTAGATGATAGTAATAGAATTATAGCAGTTCTAAATCAAACATCACCAAAAAATTTATCTGTTGGTAATAAGGCTTTTAATCTTAGAGACAATTCTTGGGGGAGAACTTAAACCTTTTACAATAAGATTATTTGATTCATCAAAATTAATGACCTTGAAAAATTTGATCAAGATTTAGCATTTATTTATATATGATTTTAATTGGTTGGAATATATTTTTTTTTATAATTATATCAATTTAATATAGTTTAATTAGTAAAAAAAAACATTTATCGGACTTGGAATTTTTACTCCAAATAATTTGGTAGACAAACATTGACAAGTGACAAAAGACTTTCTTTGACCACCTAGAGAGATCTGAATCAGGTTGGGCCAGATCAACAGTCAAACAAATTCGGTTGAGCCGGGTAATCACTTTACTTGACCTATTTGGAGCTCTGGGTGAGACATTGTAAAATTGTGATGTAATGTTCACCTTGACTGGTTTTGTTGCGGCATGTAAAATAATAAATAAATAATAAATAATAAATAAAAAAAATCATGTGGCTAATTAGCGATGCTAAATTTGATTGGCTGGCATGCCATAAATGTATAAAATTATTATTATATATAAATCGATCATATAAAGTTTTTTTTAAAATATTATTTTCACTTTAACAAAAAAAAAAACAATGACTTATACAAGTGTGGCCCGTATTTATTCGAATGTCAATCAAAACATGCCTCGCGATTATTGGGATTATGGCAAGTTGTTTTTTTAAAGATTTGTCATTATTATATATCCTAATATTGGTTGATTCTTCTCAATATTGATGATTATTTATCACCATTATGTATACATCCAGATAACTTGCAAGTTCAATGGGGGTAATGATAATAAATTGCATGTCAATATAATTATTTGGAAAATGATGCGTATATTTTTATGTTTATATATTTTTTTTATGAATAAATTAGCGTACAAGATAATTATGAAATAGTACGCAAGATTGGTCGTGGTAAATATTCAGAAGTATTTGAAGGGGTCAACGTTATGAATAATGAAAAATGTGTGATTAAAGTTCTCAAACCCGTAAAGAAGAAAAAGATTAAACGTGAAATTAAAATATTACAAAATTTGGCTGGTGGACCGAATATTATTTCTCTTATGGACGTCGTAAGAGATCCCCAGGTAAAAATATACTGTAAATATATATAAAGAGATATATGATTCAAATTCAAATTTATATATTATAATATAATATAAATTATTATTTTATTTATTACTAGTCAAAAACCCCATCTCTTATTTTTGAATATGTAAATAACACCGATTTCAAAATCCTGTACCCAAAATTTACAGATTATGATGTTCGTTATTATATTTATGAGTTGCTTAAGGTATTGAGAATTTTATACTTTATGATATTTAGGGGTTTTTTTAAGCATATATAATACTTATGATAACAATTGTATAGGCTTTAGATTATTGTCATTCAAAAGGTATCATGCACAGAGATGTAAAACCACATAATGTTATGATTGATCATGAAAGACGCAAGGTATTTATTTGTTGATTTAATATGTATAATAAAAATTTAAATTCAAATCTAATCTTAATGGTGTAATTGATATGATATTCAATAATATATACTTTAAGTTGAGATTAATAGATTGGGGCTTGGCTGAATTTTATCATCCTGGTACAGAATACAATGTTAGAGTGGCATCTCGATATTTCAAAGGACCAGAATTATTAGTCGATTTTCAAGAATATGATTATTCTCTCGATATGTGGAGTTTAGGATGTATGTTTGCTAGCATGGTAAGATATATATAATTTTTAAATTTTGTTTATGAAATATAATTGGAGTTCTATATCCAACGATTATATATACATATATATATTTATTTATTATTTTTTTCTATTTTTAATAACAGATTTTCCGTAAAGAACCCTTTTTCCATGGTCATGATAATTATGATCAATTAGTTAAAATTGCAAGAGTACTCGGCACAGATGAGCTATTCGCCTATCTTGACAAATATGATATAGAACTAGATGCTCAATATGATGATATCCTTGGAAGGTTATTATTATAATTAATTGGTTTCATTCATTTATTCCATTATAACCATCACTATAACCATACATGTTTATTATTATTTGATAAATTCGTTATTACAGATATCCAAGGAAACCATGGAATAAATTCATAAATAATGAAAATCAAAAATTTGTTAGCAAAGAAGCCATTGATTTTCTTGACAAATTGTTGAGATATGATCATCAGGTATATATATTATATATATATTAAAGATTTAAAAAAAGCATGTTTTCAAAATTTAATAAAATAATGCATTATTGTTTATAGGAACGATTAACGCCACGAGAGGCTATGGTGCATTCATACTTTGGTAAAAATTTTATTAATATATATTTTTAATTTTTTTATCTATTAAATTTATAAAAAATATTAATTTATTTATTAATGTATGCGTGTAGATTTAATAAGATAGAAAAATCCACATCATCATTAATTATAGATAACTTATTTTTTGGAAATTTAATATTCCAATTCATACAAAAGATCATATACATATATTAAAAGTATATCTTATTATGTATATGTACAGAAATTATTAAATATTAAAGTTTATTTTTTCTATAATATATATTATTTATACCAATAAATCTGAAATATTAGGTTTAACCACTAAATGTTTTTTTATTTGTCCTAAATTATAAACGGTTTCTTTTGATGGATCAATAACAATTGAATTTTCCAAGAACGATCTATCTAACCCAGGATTTACCTTTAAAAAAAAAATTATATAATTAATATATTCCATCCAATATTGTAACATAATAATGTTATTATAATTTACTGCTTTGGTACTTACATCAAACACAAAATTACCAATTATCATTTGCATCTGCCCAGAACTTCTTATAACAAGCTTACCGATTTGACCTTCAGTATTGCTGTTGTCCTTATCTCCTAATTCATCAAAAACTTTATTTGATTTTTTTTCCGAATCATTACTATTATTATTATTAGTTTGTGACTGTTGTGATGTATTACTATTTTTTTTACGTGCATCTCCTACCCTTCCTTTGCCTTTATTATTATTGTTGTTGTTGTTGTTGTTGTTGTTGTTGTTGTTGTTGTTGTTGTTGTTGTTGTTGTTGTTGCTGTTGTTGTTGTTGTTGCTGTTGCTGTTATCACTTTCTGAAACAGGCAATGTGTTTGCTTCAAATTTTGGGAGGATAGAGGGTAACTGGATACAGAAAAGATGTCCATTCTAAAAAAAAGAATTAAATATTAAACCTTTTTTTAAAGATATAACATATGCATGTACACAAAAAAGTTCTTTTTTGTTGATTGTGCTTACTTCTTTGAGCAGCGAAGCAATTTCTTTTTTTTCCTTTAAATTTATTTCACGAGATTGGTCGACCTCCTTGGATAGTAATTCATTTTTAGCTATTGGATGGAAAAAAGAAAAGAAATTTCTTCTGCATTGGTTTCTATATATATTTTCTAAATGTTTCAACAAAATAACACAGCATATAATCTATTGACTTCTAATGTATAACAAACACACAAACACACATATAATATATATATAGGTAGATATATGTGTATATTTCTAGATATATACATATATATTTTTTGTTAAGAAATTTAATTTCTAGAAAAAAATAAAAAATAAAAACATACCGTCTAAAAATTTTTGAAAACTTTCATCTTTTTCTATAGTAAGTATATCGGGTGCCCATGGATCTTCACGAAATGAATCAAAGTCTTCTGCAAAATCATCATAATCTTTTTTCTCATCCATCATAGAATGTCCAAGTATTTTATTTGATCCTGTCATCACTTTTAATATTATATATAAATAATACACTAAAATTAAATCTTGATCATATTTATATAAAAAAATAGATAGACAGATATACAGATAGATAAATAATTACTTGGCACAGAACTAGCATGAGGACCGTATGCAAATGGACCAGATGCTTTCATCTCTGTGACGAATCTACTACGATCACGCATTCCTACTCTCCAAAAAAAAACATCGTGAAATTATTTTTTGATAATTTAGTTATCAAAATCTCATTATTTTTTCTATTTCAAAAATACCTCGACCCATTCTTCCAATTGATCCATGACTTTGACCCTACCAACATATATTTATAAATATGTATTTTTTAAATAATAAAAATAACATTATAGATATATTATGATTTCTGTAAAATAAACCAACCCCAAATGATGGATCATTATCAAAAAATTCTGGTATTATTGAGTCTGCAGTAATTGTTCTTGTTGGAATCAAATAAATAAGGCGTATAAGTAAAATAAATGATTTTATACAAGGATCAAAAATAATCCAATTCAAATAAATAAAAAATAAAAGCTAACGGTTGAGGCCTTCGATGTGCTTCCGGTACAGTAGGAACAAATCTCATTTTCTGTGTTCCACGAAGTGTCACCCTTGAAGAGGTTGGTAGAAAGTAATGACCTGTTGGAATGGTTCTAACAGATGCTAATCTGCCAGGAGCAGGTAATTCTGGCTGTAATGAGCCAAGTCTCCTAGCAGTGCTATTATTACTAGAAGCTGAGCTTAAAGAAGGACTAGGCGATGCAGTTCTACTTGGCAATTTATCTTTAGGATCCATTATAATAATGAAATAATAAATTATCGATGAACAAAAAATTGAAGGTTTGAAAGATGTCGTCGAAATACTTTCTGCAGATACTTTCTAAATTTTGACTAGTTACACGATACAATTTTTTTGGAAATAACCTATATTAATATATTTTGAAAAGATATTTAAGACACGCCATCCTTGGTATATTGAAGAGTTATATTAAAAAAAGGAATGGGATGAAGATGAGAAACATTTTGATCAATGGAGGTCAATAATGCTGTTGTAGATTATTTTTATTAATCTTCCATTTAGAGAAAATCCATTGATGAAAGAGTTCGTCTGATCGCAATGCTTTTATCCCCATTGATGAATTATTCTGTTTTTTTTTATAGTGCGCAGACATTAGGATAAAGAATATTTAAAAAGTCTTATTTAGTTCGTACTTAATTTGTGATAACAAGAAAAATGTCTTCCATTTTTCTTGGATTAAAACACATCTTCCTTCATGAATTTGACCGTTTTACATAAAAGCTGTCCCAATAATAATACATATAGAGAAGTGAGATTTAATAAATATGGCGTGTTCAATTTACGAGGACTTGTCCGTGGGACGTTACCTTTATGAAAGTATGCATGTTATCATTACTGTCATTATTTATTATATTAACATCATATTTATTTAGGAAATTACATCTTCATTATGCATTTGCACTAACCGGTGACGTTGAAAACATGTTTGCTGAAGGACAAGTACGTGTTGCAAGGAGTCAATATCCTTCTTACACATTTTAGGTTTTGACTATTCTCAATTAAAGATTTCTAAACATGCATTGGAAGAATATAAAAATTAACATTCATGGCTCACAGAATTTAGAAAAACAATATTCTTGACGTCTGAATCTTGTTATTCATAATTCTTTATTTACATTATTTACATTTTCTTTGTGGACGTACTCCCTTTCTGGCGATAATAATTCAAGGCTATAGATGGTTGCCTCTCTTAATAAATGATTGTCATCGAAGCTAAAGTATCGAAACTAGCATTTAATAATAAGAATAACCAAAACTAATTTTCATAGTTGATCTGAAAATTTAGACTTTTTAACCAAATAGCACAATCATTTTATGACTAATTCATATAAAAAATATTGAAAAGCTGAAGCTATTGCCGAAATCACTTTTTTCTAAAAACAATTTAGGCAACCCATCTACGCTCGAGACAGATCTGCGTACAGTTATACAACCTTCACGAGAATGCTAATAAAGTCATTTTTTTTTTCAGTAGAGTTGAAGTATTTTATTGATGAATTCAGACTAAAAGTGAAAAAGAAGAGTAAATAACAGCATGCACATTGAGAGCACCGGGAGGTGAATCTTGAAGCAAACTTTGAAACAAATATTACAATAGTCTTACTGACAATCCTATCAGAGACATCATGTGAACAAAACGACAATTGAAAGTATACGTGAATATTCTGCCTCTATACAATCTTTATTGAATCTATCAGAATCTTTTGTTGCTTTACAATTATTGCATTCTCTTTGTTTGTCCAACTTACAGACTACATTACCTAATTCGTAAACCTTCCTTTATAATTTTTACATAATCATTTATTTTTTTTCTATTTTTTTCTATTAGAATTAACCAGAGCATTATTTCATTTTCAAATGATATTATGTGAATTGTTAATTTGACTTGATTAACTTATTGTGTAAAGAATCAATTGTTTTGGCAGGCAAAAACAATTGTTTATTCATTTACATTGCCTCTGTATTTCAATCAAGGCTCCGAACGAATCGAATCGAATCGAGTCAAATTTTAAAGTGATTCGATTCGAATAAAATCGGATTCCTAAATTTTTTTAATGTCATATTCAACAAATATATGAGACACATAAGGAATTCGAAAATTCGTTATACCAAAATTACTAATCACGTTTCAACAAATTTTATATGTTGAAGCAAAAATTTTTAAAAAACTCGTAACGCGAATTTAATTATAATTTTTTGAAACGGGGTTTACTATACTGTTAATATTAATAATATTAATATTAACGATAACAAATGAAAAGTAATATAATTTACAGTTGCAATAATAATAAATATAACAATGATGAATGATGTCTCTTCAATAACTTCTTCAACAGGTACAGTGCAATGGGCTCAAAGAAGAACAAGAAGTGAATTGTGAAATCATTCACAGTTGTAGATGGAAAAGTTAAATGCAATTATTGCACTAGGTAAATTTTTTTTTTTTTTTGACTATCGATACTATTTATTTCCAAAGGCAACTCTTTTAAATTATGCAGAATTCATATGGTGTACATATATTTGAATTGTATTCAAACCAGAGCATTATCATATTTGATTTGAATGAAACAAATCAAAAATTAGGTGATTTGAATTTCATTGATTCATTCAGAGCCTTACTTTCAATACTAATTGCAGAGAATTGAATTCATCATCCTGAATTTTAGATATTACAAATAACATACTTTTTCTAGTGTTAATAATTCACATTTTTAAATAGTTTATTTAATATTAATGCAAAATTCCTTTTATCAATTTTATCCACAAGTGCACCCTCTATAAATGCACACCCTCATACTCTGCACTGCACAGTTTTTTTTCAGTCCGCTCATATGAAAACTCTCTCCATAAATGCATTCCACGTGACCAATGTATAAAATTCATCGTGTAACTATATGTATAGGATAATCGTCAGCATAAATTTTTGGTTTGATTGGATAATTTCCAAATATATAATACAATCCAATTGAATTTCGTGGCTTCGTGTGATGAAAGAAAATAGTAAATTATTTTGTTTACATATTTTTATAACAAACAAAGGTCAAAAGTTTTTGTTATATTACAATCTTTGTAATTTATAATGAAATTATATATTTTTATTTATTGCTTTGTATTTTTACAATGAAATTATTTGTTAATTATTATCATAGCTTTGTAATTATACAACGGAAATATTTGTCCATAATTTTTATTACAGCAAGAGAACAAATAAAATTGGTTAATAAAATCAAAAGATATATCAGTGCAAAAAAAGTAAATTCATCGAAACAAACTACAATGGATAGTTATTTTAATATTAATTAAGTTTTTAAATATAAATAAATAAAAAATTTTGTTTTAAAAATATTGTGCATAACGTGCAACCAATGAAATTGCTTCTCTCTATTAGTAACAGCATTTTTGAATTATCTAAAATTGACGGTGCGGCGCAAAAAGTTGTGACTTGCACCATACACTAACCGTCAATCAAAATTCGAAAACTTAGTCATGTGAGTAAAATATCACGTGAAACTAAGGTTGCTTACCGAAACCGCAAAAACAATTAGTGTGTACCTTGCCGAAACTCTACCAATTGCCAAAAACCCCACATGAGAAACTCTAATAAACAATTAGTTTATAACCTGTCGAAACTCTGCCAATTGATTTTGGAGGAGTTTTGACAAACAACCATACATGAAACTGACTTGATTATTTAATATGGTATGGAATCAAAGATTCCACTATGCCCTTAATGAATTATATGATGGATAATCTGTAAGTGTTACCAAAAAGCGTGAATATAAAATTCAACCAAGCATTCTAATATAAAAAAAAAAAGAATCAAGAAATAATTAATTCGTTTTAAAACAATAATTTTTTTATTCGTGTTTTAGTAATTTAACCACTGGGGTGGTTTCGCGACATAATGTTCACTTTGTCTGATTTTTGTTACTATACAATCAATCACTCTTGTATAATTTAGCCAAACATAAAAAATATAATTAATAATTAATAATATATATAATTTCATTTTAATTTATATTATAATTACATCCTCCATAATTATTATATGAGGTAAATATATATATGGTAATGTTAAATGATAATGAATATGTATTTTTTTAAAAAATAAAGTCAATGATTATGCAAATGCCCAAAAAAATAAATGCAGATATAACCTAATAACCTAAATAACCTTATATTCTAAACCCACCCATGCAATCTATATATCTATATTTAACAATTAATCATTAATATTATTTTTAGGTACAAGTTGCAAATTGTGCCTTCTTCAATGAGCAAGTATCATTTTTATCTTTTAATGTCAATAAATAGTATACAATTATAGCTAAAATGATTGCCCAGATCCAAATCTGTAATTTCCATAGATGTTATGATTCGTCGATTAGTTGATTGTTGTTAGTTAGGTGAAAGTGGTTATTGAAGTAAAGGATCAAAGGTGGTTTATCATGCAAAATAAATATATAGAAGGCAAATAGTTAGTGAAATATTACAAAGAAAGAAAAGAATAAAAAAAGGATTGTTGATGAATAAATTTGTATATATGATTGATTGCATTATTATTAATGAAAGTAATGATTTGAAAATGCCCTTATTTGATTCGAACTACTAATTCCTAAATTCCTAATATCAAGATTCTTTATAATGATGATGTAAAAGAATGAATGCATTTATTCTTTCATATATTTAATTCTATGAAGCTGAAAATATCTATCAAGGTTTTGCTCATTATTATTATATTATTATTACTATTTTTACTGCTACTCACTCTTTTAGTATAAGACATTCCTTTCAGCGCCAATAGGCTGTGGGATTTCGCTGGGAAATAGAACTTGATGTTCTTCTCATAAACATTGGAACCACCAAAGGCTTTACGGATCGCTGGGATGACTCGTCCTCTTCGTTCATAGCTGCTTGATTCTGTTTCATCAGGTCGGATAAAAGATTGGACTTTTGGAATGTGTCTTTGTTCCAGGTTAGCGTGTTCTGTTGTGGCAGAATGAATTGGAGAGTGACATCATTGTTATCTATAATTGTCATATACAATAACAATAATAACAACAACACAATTGTCAAAAAAAAAAAAAGTGAAGGGGAAATAATATAAAATAATAATATTCTATCTTTCTTTCTATCTCTCTTGATTCTTTTTTTCAGTGAAAGAATTTTGAAGCTGTATGGTAATATCTACAGAAGGAGAAAATAATAATCTATTTTTTTTCTGACAAGCATAAATAATGATATATACATACCAACAAGGAATCTTTTATATTAAAAAAAAAAAAGTAGAAATAAAAGTAATCAATTAATAATCAAAGTTCGCAATAGTAATAACAATAAAAGTAATTAATAAAAATGGTAATTGAACTAATTGCTGCTACAGCAATTGTTGCCAATTTCTCTCTTCCTTTTTTATTTTTTATGTGTATGTGTATCTATATCACCTACTTTGACAATTCAGCCCATCCTCCGCCAACTCTAACCATTACCATTCTACTTTTTAAAATACGACAATGACAAAGTTTAGGCTCAGCCTCTCCAAACATATATTTTCCAGATTCTCTCTCTACAACGGAAACTTTTATTTTCACTGGGGATGCATTAACTATCCTTGCCACCTCAACATCTAATTGGACTTTTGGATCAGGTAAATAATTATTGACTATATGTGGCGATAATCTTGTTGCTGGTTTTTTTGGTGATCCTAGCAATCCTGATGTTGGACTTGGTGTTAATCTATTGGATTGACGATGTCTTGGTCCTGGTGATAATCCTGGTGATACCGCACCACGTTTCCTAGCTTTAAAATCCAATAAAAAGTGTCATTATTATTAATCATCATTAGAAAACAATTATGACAAAAAAAAATTTTTTACGTGATGGAGGTCTTGCAGATAATGATCTTTTTCTAGTTGGTGAAAAGTTTCTGTGCGGTGATAATGTTTGAGAATTGGATCTTGTACGCCTTTCAGTTCTAATATTTTGTTCTTCAGATGGTAATTTTTTCAATTCATCTTGTTTGGCATTTGTCACTTCAGTCAATTCTGCCCATTGTTCCTTCAAAATACTCAATCGATCAATTACTCGCCAATCATCTTTAACCGATTCTGATACTTGTTTTACATCTTCAAGTTTCTGATCTATTTTAGGTTGGTAATGTGAATATTGCTTTCCCAACTCAATCGACCTTGCATCCAATTCTATTTTATTCAATGATGATAATGGTGACCCATCCATTGTTGTTGTGGCTAAATCAACAATTTCAAGCAGTGAGCTCATCAATGTATTCATTTCATCTGCCTTAGTACCAAAAATTGCCAATTTCTCAGCTTCATGTAGTTGTGATCGTTTGTTATCCATTATTCCTGCCAAATTTGTCAATATTTCTGCTATACCTGAACGTTGTTGAACGAAACTGGTTTCATGCTCTGGTAAATTGTTGATACTTTCATCTAATGCTTCAATTCTTGGTCCAAGTATATGATCAACTTCAGCTTGTATTTCATCAAGTTCTCTTAGGTTGTTCTCAACATCATCTTTTGTTGGTAATTTTGGTACTCCCTCATCAATAAAGAATGATTCAATGTTCAAAACTCGTTCTTTCACTTGATCAATTGATGCTAAGATATCTTTGATGGCTTTTGAAACTTCTTGTACTTCTTTAGATGCATTCAAGCTTGATCTTAAACTTTTCAATAAATCTGTTAACGAATCCCAATCTTCTAACACTTTATTTGTTCTGGCTTCTACAGCATATTTAATTTTAGGTTCAATTTCAACATTATTATTGCTAGTGGCATCAGTATCATTAATGACGATTGGCAAAATAACACGTTGACTCATATCTTTATAAGCATCAATAGTAGGTTGAAAAGTTATTGCATTTTCTTCTAATTCTTTGATTTCTGCTTCTTGATCCATATCACCAACTTGAATGTTTAATGCAGCCACCTTACAAGCTGAAATCCATTTCTTAATATCTTCTGATGCTTCAGTTTGTGGATAAATTTTCTTGGCTGTTTCAATTTCACATCTCTCAGCTGAAATACTATTTGAAAAGTTTTCCAATGCTCGCGTAGCTTTATTTAATATGTTCTGTACACGATCCTTATTTGCTTCAGGGTCCATTTTGATTAACTTATCAGCCTCAGCTTTCAAGTTAACATTTATTTGTGCTTCATATTCCTTCAGTGTTCCCTCACTATCTGAAACTCCAATCATGGCATTATTAATCAGATCGTTCAATTCACTGGCTTTCAATGAATAATATTCACTATCATTGAACTCATTATGTCTCGATTCAACTTTTGAAGCATCTTCCAAACATGCATTAATAATTTTATCAACATCAGCATCAAATGTTGTCAATAATGAATCATTATTGGCTTTTTCTATTGCTTTTTGAAACAGATTTGATAATTCAGTAAGCTGAGTGGTGATATCAAAAAGATGCTTATTAAAATTTTGACGATTTGTATTATCTAAAATATCATTTTCAACATCAACTATCTGTCCAGCACCAAATTTGGCTGCTTCGAGCATTTTTTTAGCATTTTGTAATTTGTCATCCAACCCTTTAGTTTCAAATTCTAAATTGTCATAATGTGTACTAGGTAATTTATTGATACAGTTCTCAAGTCCGTCAAAAATATCATTCTCTACGTGATATATAATATCATGTTGGTCATGCCATTTTCCAACTTTATTGATGAAATCTTTGAATTCATTAGATTTTAAATCCAAATTTTCCCACAATTTATTCAATTCTGTTTGTGCCTTGACTACATCCTGCAATTCACGTATGCCTTCCTGTGATGTGATATTATTAAATTCTTCTATTATACTATTGAACTGTTCAAACCTCTCTGGCAATTTTTTTTGGAAATTATCAAATATTATAGACAAGTTTTCAAGATTTTCTTTATTTGTTTGCTCAGATGTCTCCACCATTATACCATGTTGTGACTGACCATTGATAAAATCCTCAAATTGCCTTTCAATCCAACTTTGTAAATCATTAACTCTAGCCAAATATTCCCCAGTGATTTGTGCTGATATGTGTGCCTCAACTTCATCAATCTTATTGTTCATCAATTTCTTTAGATTATTGATCTTATCTGCAACATTCCTTAATAGATCCTCAAGAACAACTGACTCTTTCTTGGTAATTGCTCCAAGATTTGTTGAAAGACTCTCTTTGACATTATCATGTAGCTTAATCAATGAGAATAGTTCCGTTTGTTCTAAACCATTCAATTCAGTTTGCCAATCTTTGATGTCATCCTTGCTCACCTCATCCACCAATGAAGATGATATTATATCAGATAAGTTGTCAACTTTGGAGAAGTTTTCTTTGATCCTCTCTTTGAAATCAACTACTTGTAATGCCTGATCTAATTGTTGTTTGGTTTTTGGTATAGTATCTTGTAATTCTTGCCATAAATCATCAATTTCCACTTCTTTAGAATTTAATGCTTCAATACCAAGATCAATATCTCCATCACTATTGTTGTTGTTGTTAGCAGCAATCTCTTTGTTCATTTGGTTTACTAAATCATTTGCTAAATTCTTAACTTGCTCATAAAAATCAGTATAGGCCTTTTGTTCTGATTCAACAAAATTGACTTCTTCTAATAAATCATGTAGTTTGTCTTCACTAAGTTCGCCCAAAGTATCATCTTTCAATATATCATCAAGAACTTTTAAATGTGGATTCACCCAATCAATAATGCCTTTGGCCTGTTTCAAAAAGTCATTGATTGCATCATGTTGTTCCAAAACATTTTTACCCTGATTTACTCTATCCATCAAATAATCAAATTTCTTTTCAAAATCTGATTGACGATCTGATAAATGCTTTGGACATTCCTTTGATAGTAAGTCTTTGATTGTTGAAACCATATCTTCATTTGATGATTTCAATGGTTCCAATACATTTTCTTGAAAATCTTTTACTTTTCCTGCCAAGGTTTCAAACTCTTGTTTCAGATCTAATTTTGTTTTCTCTGGAATTGGTTTATTTACGTTCAAACTTGCCCCTTCTTCATCCGAGCTTATATTCTTTTCAGTTGAAGTTGGTTTATCATCTTTGCCAGTATTTTCTGCCAAGCTGTGAGATTTTTGTTCTGAATCTAATTTTGGTTCTTTTGCTGTTTTATCATCAATAGTTGGAATAGTAGTCGAATCATTAGTTACTTTATTTTCATTTGAAGCAACGTTACCTAGATTATCAACTTTATCATCATCATTGGTTAAAATATCAACAGGTGTAGTGCTATTATTATCATGATCATCAGGTTTCCATCTGGCTTTTTCTGCAATGAATTTGTTAACTTCATTAATTAAATCATTCAAAGATTGCATTCCAGGAGCAATTTTATCTTCCCAACTAGCACATGGCTGTAATACTGATAGGTCTAATTGTCTTTCTGATGTTTTTAATTGTAGTTCAGCAAACTTTTCATTCAACTTTTTAAAAGCATCATGTAAATGTATCTGATCAACAGGATCATCATTGTTTGATGACTTGATGTCCTCGACCAATTTCTCAATACCTTCTTTAATTTGATTAATATCCTCCAAATCAATTCTATTATTTTCAGCTAAAAATTCTTCATGTTCTTTCAACAATTCTTTCACTTGTTCCTCATTATGTAAACACTCAGTTTCCAATGGATCAATCTTACGTTCCTCAAGCATTGCCAATCTTTTGTTGACCAAATCTTCTAAATTAGAAATATCATTAAACAAGTCATCTGATTTTTGTTGTAATTCCTTCTCGAGTAGTCTAAAAGCATCTTGATAATCTTTCATTGCTTTGTTAACTTTAAACTTCAAGTCTTCCATTTTACGATGATAAGCATCAACACCTTCCTTGACCAAATGATTTTCATTTTGATCATGATCTGAGTGAACTGGGTAGATGACTTTTTCACCAATATTACTCCAAGCTTGTTCAATATTTTTATTAAATTCCTCAACTCTTTCTATGAATTTCTTTTCTATGAGACCACCTCTTGGATTTCTTTCTTCTTCTATTAATTCATTTTTTAATTTCAAACCATCAATATAAGTAGTTTCGCTGACTTGAGCATACTCTAAAACTTCTTGACGTTGCTGCAAAACATTTCTACAAAATTCAAAATATAATTTTAAAAATACCAGATCACTTTCTTCAAGGTTTTCTTGTCGTATAAGTAGATGTTCAGGCACTTCCACTAATGAGGTCTCCACTAATTCATCAAATATTTGCCCAGTTACAGGTATGTTGACACTTTCAAAACTTATTACATACTGATTTATTGATTCTAATTCAATTAACACATCTTTCTGGTTTGGTTGATTAGCATTAATGAACCACCCATCATCATCTCTTATACCGATTGGTTGTTTCCATCTACCTCTGTTTATAATAAAATCTTTAATGCTGTTTATCAATATATTCCATGTATTTAAAGCTTTAGCAAATTCACATTCCCAATCTACTCTAAGTGCCAACACAGATAAATCATTTGATCTTTGTTTTGATAATCCCAATAAAATATCAAGTTGCTTAATTGTTTGTAAAGTAATTGCAATTGTCATTGTATCAGCAGGCGACATTGCTTCATTAATCTGAGAGTTAATGTTACTATTTCTGTTACTACTACCATTACTGCTGCTAGTATTGGTGCTAGGATTGGAGGAGGTGTTAGCACACATCATGGATTTGACGTGAGCTCTTAATCTAGTCATATCTTCAGCATCAAATTTCTCAACTTCTAATTCCAATTTATCATAATCATCTTGCCATTCATCAACCTGTTCTTGAGTAGCAGGTACTTTACCTTCTTGAAGAGCGTCAAACTTTGGAAAATTTTCTAATACCACAATGTGCTTATCTATCCATACACGCATACGTTCAGCCTCTTTGAACCAAATTTTTACTTCTTTAATCCAAGCTTCTACCAAATTAAACTGATTTAGTTGTTCATCAAATCTTTCACGGTACCTTTCATCTCCAACATCAGGAGCTATCAAATGTTGATAAGCTGATTCAAGATTATTTAACATTTCCAAGGCATCAGCCATATGAGCATCTAATTCTTGTATTGAAGCATCAGTCTTGGTATCTTGACGCCTCATCTTACCCTTTATGATGTCAAGTTGATCTCTGATTGCATTAGCACTTTTTGCAAATTTTCTGCCTTCTCTAATCATTTGTAGATTATTTTGGCGCAAAATCATCAAATCTTTAATATCAGCAAATGTTTTTTCTGCCTTATTAATTCGACCAATCACCTCTTCACCACGTAATCGTTTAGCAGGTTCAGACTTCAACCAGAATTCTACCCATAAACTTCTCTCAAACAGAATCAATTCAGATTCTATCTTGTTATAACGCTCACTCCACTCTTCAACATGATCATCATTACATGTCAACCCATGAACTTGTTCAGGCTCCACCTCTTCTGTTCCTTCTTCATTATTTTTATCACCTGTACAATCATTATCAGTATCATTGTCAATACCACTATTATTTGTGTTACAGTCCAACATGTATGTTGGAGGAGAAGATAATCTTGTATAGAAATTTTCTAATTTTTGTTCAATTGTGTTAGCTAATTTATCAAATTCAGAATTGGCAGAAGTAGGTGATGAGGGTGATGAAGGTGACAAGTAGGCAGCCATTTGTAATTTGTTTTCAGCCAAAGCAATCTTAATATTTTGTATAGTTAATAATAACTTCTTATGTTTATTTTTTAAAGCCTTTACTAAACCAGGTGAAGTAGTATTGGTTTTTTTAGTTGTGGTGGCGGTGGTATTCATAGTTGATGTGTTATCGTTATTATTATCATTGGAATTTTCTGATGATTCTGTTTTATGAGGTAATTGTTTTTCAAAATTTTTTATTTTTTCTTCAACATTTATAACATCATCTTTTACCATGTTAGCATCATTATGTTCAATGATTGATTTACGAATTTGAGTTATTTCATTACGTAAATTTTGTAAATTTTCCAAAATATCAATTATCATTAAAAAGCTTTCAACATTAGTTTGCAATAATATATTATCAATGAATTTTTTTAATTTTGTTAATTTTTCCTTTAGACTTTTTAATTGCTTTTCCATCAATTCTATTACTAATAAATCTTCTTGAGAATTTTGAATGATGATTGAGGAGTTGTTTGATGATACTGATGAGGTGGTGGTGGTAGTGGCACTGGTAGCAATAGGGGAGGCTGGATCGGGAGAGTTGGAGGAGGGTTGATGATTTAGCATTATTGAACAGAGGTCATTTGATTTACGTTCCAAATCTTTTAAACGTTCATTTTCAAATTGTAAAATATCTTGTTTTATTCCATAAATTATTCGGCGACGATCTTGGATCATATTTTCAATATTTTGTTTTTCATCAGTCCAATCATATTTATTTATTAGATCAGGTACTTCGAATTGTTTTACTCGTCTAAAAGTATCAGATATCCATTTGTCTGATTCATTTGAGCCATCAAACCATCTTCCTATATGTCTATCTTGAGACAATGTTTGGCGAATATAATAGATTTTATCACTTAATAAAGGGATGACATGATTTACTATTTCTATTACGTGATTAACCAAATCTATTGGAGCTCTGAATTTCTCATGTTGATAGAAGTTTATTAGTTCTTTAACTTGCTCATATACTTCATGCTTTAATAATTCATCAGCAGCAACTACTTTTGTATACCATTCATCTAACAGGGAAGAAGAGAATACAATACTGGTGACAGTTATTCCTTCATCAGCGATCATGGAAGATGATGATGATGCAGAAGATGTCAATGAAGCTTTACTTGCTGCATTAGTTATTACAGGAGTGTTGTGTAATGACGTGGCGGTAGGGTTAGTGCTAGAAGTATCATTACCGTTGTTATTGTTAATGTTGAAATTTGCTGTACTTGAATTAGGTGAAGATGTTAATAAACCACTATTATTATTTCGTGTTGCAAAAGTTGTCGATTCATCGTGAGTTTTTTTCCTTGATTCTTCAACACCTTCTAACATTACTTCAACCTTTTGAATTTCAATACTAATTCCTTGTATTTTCTGTAATAAATTAGAAGTCCAATTTAATTCCTGCAATTTTGATTTTGATAATTTTAGTAAACTTTTAAAACTTTCCCATAATAAGTTTAAAGATTTTAAAATATCATGATCTTTATTATTATTATTATTAGTTAATCTATTAAATTCATCGGTTTGTTTAATTATTAATTCATTTTCTAATTTTGATAATGATTCATCCAAAGGATTTATTAAATCTAGATCAATAATAAATTCATTGATATCAACAACTGGTTTTAACAATTCATGATTAATCAAAATTTTATTAAATCGAGAATTCATCCAATTAATCAAATCTTCGATTGATGAGATGAATTCTTTCTGCATTCCAGTTTCTTTTTCTTTTACAGTTGAAACTTCTTCAGTTATTTTCTTATAATTCAATTGAAATAAATTTTGTTTTTCTTTCATTTCCTGGTCAATTGTTGTCACCTCTTCTAATGGTAATAGTAATACTCCTGTTGGATGAAGATTCTTATATTCTTCATTATATTCTTCAAGATCGTCTATGGTTTCCACCGCCTCCGAATTAATGACGCTACTCAAAACATTTTGTTCTTCTTCTTGTTCAATTAAACGTACATTTTCCATGTTTCTTAATTTCTAAAAGAGTAGAATCGTTAATTTTGGTTATGTTAAATAAGTTATAGTGGTTGAGATTATCGTTTGGTTTGTTTTTAAATGGTAGTTTGGTTGATGGTAGTTTGTGAATATGGGTATTAATGTGTGATTGGTTGTGATTGTGGTGTTGTTGTTGGTGTTGGTGTTGGTGTTGGTGCTGGTGTTGGTGTTGGTGGTGTTGGTGGTGGTGATGGAGTAGTTATGGTTATTAATTATATATGTGGGATTTTTTATTTTTTTTTTAAAAAAGAAAATTCTAAATAACAAAAATATATATATATAAAAAGAAAGATAAAATAAATATAAATTCTATAGTGTTTTATTTTTATTTTATTAAATAAATTTTGGATATATTTGACAAGAAGAAGAAAAAACAATAAAAACACCAATTTTTTTATCTATTGTTATTTTTGGTGTTTATTATTGTAAGTTTTAAAGTAAAAATAAAATGAAGGAAGAGAATATTTAATCTTTTTTTATATAATTTTATAAAATGGTTATTTGGATAATTAATGAATGGTAATTTGGTCTAGTACATTTTATTTTGTTATTTAATTTTATGCAATAGGTAACCCAATTCATTTACCTGAAACTTGTGAATTTGATGTTGCACATTGGTTTGGGTTATTATAAATAACAAACAAACTCATTATAGATATTTATTCGGTCAGATTTTCGGAGTTTTGAATGGTTTAAACAGGTAAACCCTTGTTGATTACCAAAATGAATAATCAATTCAATAATTCAATTATCAAATTTGGCTAAAAATTAATAATATACTGAAATAATTTTTTTTTTTTTTTTGAATAAAAATTTATCCCTCAAAACCTTAATTTTTTTTAGAAAATTTTTTATAAATATATATAATAAATTCTTTTTTCTTTTTCCATAAAAATTACTTCTTTTATACCATAAACTTAGACTTTTCACAACCATGGAAGAAGCACTTACTAAACCAAGGAATGTTACCCATACTTTATATAAATTATACAACTGGTTGCAAATGGGAATAATTGACCTTAATCCTGAATTCCAAAGAGGTAAAGAGCCTTTTAGACCATTATTAATATATGTATAAATGTATATATATTATAGTTTACTAAATATCAAAGAAACAATATATATAATAAATTAAAAAATTTTTTTCCTTATTATTAATTAATTTCTTACACCCACATAGATGTTGTATGGACATGTAACTATTATTTAATTAATACAATATTATCTATTAATATCAGTTATAATTTCTAATAAATAAAATTATTTTTTGGTAGCAATTAAACAATCTCATCTAGTAGATTCTGTTCTTAACAATTTTTATGTTCCACCAGTAATTTTTTCTTGTAAAAAATTAGATAACAAAAGATGGATCAGAGTATGCATAGATGGGAAGCAGAGGTTAACTGCCATCAAAAAGTAAGTAATGATTATTTGGTGAATCAATTATTAGTTAATTATCAATCTTTGACAACTTGCTATATTCACTAAAACTACACATATATCCTTTCATTTCATATATATACTCACAAACAATAGATTTATGGATGGTGAAATTCCCCATGTAAGCCCTTCTGATGGCAATATAGCTAAAAGGTACTATAAAATTATCAATGGCAAAAAGTCATTGACAGAACCAGAAAGAGAGCTATTTGACTGTTCCGAGTTGCTTTGTGGTAAGAGTATTTTACAATTATATGATTATATAATTATAATTATTTCATATATGTCTTCTAAAATCATTACCATCTAACATTGTTTTCATTGTGCTAATTTTGTAGTTGAGTATTATGACCTTTCATTACAGCAAGAGCAAGAAATTTTTAGCCGTGTCCAATTGGGTGTTGCATTAACACCAGCTGAAAAATTACAAGCAATCAGTAGTCCAATGGCTGATTTTGCTCACTCCATTTTCAGCAAATATCCTAGTATTTCACTTATAATGGATACTAAACGTGCTAGACCATTCCAATTGATAACACAATCATTACATATGATTGAAAATGAACCTGAAAAATTCAATGCAACACCTGCTGTCATAACTAAATTCTTAAAGGAAGAACGTCAAGTACCCTCAAATTTAAAAATCATTGCAGGGAGAATTTATCAAACACTTGAAGCAATGATAGCTGATAATTCTGATATATTTCATAAAGATAATCGATTGGCTCCTGTAGAATTTGTGTTCCTAACTTATATGATTGCAAAATATCCTGGTCTACTAATCTCCCATTATCAAAGTCGTCTATTAGCCATGAAAAAACATGTTCGTCAGAAACACGATGACATTCGATTCAATAATAAAGTTTATGACACATTAAAAAGATTTGTTGATGGTATGGAATCTGAATACATAGTCACTTCATCTACATCTACTTCATCTAAATCATTAGCATCAAATGGTGTGTTATACAAAACTGAATCAACCAATTATGGTGGACAACAATCATCTTCATCTAGGCCAAAAAAAAGAAGTAAAGTTACAAATAATTAATCAATTCATTCATTGCTTTCATTAAATCAACGATGATTAAAACAAAAAAAGAAATTAATTTATACATGTACACAATTCTTATCTTAGTTTATGATCACCTTACATTTCCTTTTATTTATTTATTTTTGCTATTAAAATAGTAATAATCTTTAATAATTAATTGGTGGTAATATTATAATTTATATCACAACAAAAACATTTTAAACATTTTTTTATAAATATTGTATATATTAGAGGCTATCAATAAAAATCTGTAATATCAACTTTGAACTTACAAATATCATCCACAATTAGTTAATTAACAACAATAACAAGCATTCGTTAAATATATATATATTAAATTTTATATGGGAGGTAGAATGGATAATTTTAAGTTGAAAAATATATGATGAAAAAATAGTGAGATGCTGGAAAATATCAAAAAGAATAAAAGATAGTAATCGTGAATTTATATAAAACAATCCATTTATAAGATAGTTTGGTGAAGATTCATATGATTTTGTTTATAAGTTATTTTTTTTTTCTTTCTTAATAAACTGATTTATTAACAGTTTAATAAATATTTGATTGGTGATAAATGTAATATTTTTGTTGTAAAAAAATACATGTGAAATATATGAACATATTAGCCATGACAGATAACTAACTTGGGTGGATCAGATTGAATAAGAGCTGCCAATGAATGGTTTTAGTTATTATTTGATTGGTTTATCAAGTTGAAATTTGTTCTCAAGCCTTATTAAGAATTGTTTTATTATTTAAAGAGTTAATTGTTATCTTGAATTCAGGATTATGCTATCTCAATGATGAAATTCAGGCACATATTAATAAGTACTAGGTGCTTTTGAAAAACCGAACCAATTTCAGAACTGGACACTGTTACCAAATTTCTTGATATCAAGCTCCCTGATACACACAAGGTCATGGCACTTATTATCAATCACACTAGGAGAAGCATGAAGCAATGTGAAATTTGTTTGAAGGATAATCACTGGAAAATGTAAGATAAGCTAGGATCTTGCCGGAAAGGAAAATTTACTCAACTGCATATTCAATGTGCAATGTTGATAATGCTCATGCTTCCCAAACAAGCTCAAGTTTCCAATAAATTTCTCTGTGCCAAGCGTAACTGGGCCAAGTTGGGGCAAACCGAGAGGAGGTATGTTAAAGAACATACAAGAAAAAAAGTATTTTTTACTTGTTATCAATTGCTTTCACATTACTATATATATCTGCCATAAAATTATTTTTTTTAGTGGAAGGATGAAATGCCAACTATTTCTCTGTAACGGATGTAATCTCCATCACATCTCTCATCTAATACATGCACCTTGTTGAAGATCTAAGATCTTGAAAACCATCCATCTGTTAATGTTAATTGAATCCACTGGCAAAAATGCATAATAGAATATGAGATATTGTCCTGTGTGAATATAGATAGACCTTCTCGAACTTGTTTGTATTGTTTTCAACAAGCATGGTTAGTTTGTTCTTGGTGTATCATTGAAGAAAAGAATAAGACCACCATTATACACAGGAAATAGAATGTGTCAACCCCACATGTATTTTCTTCAATTGTGGTGGCTACACAATCAAACCCAGAGATACAAATGCTTCTGTCTTGCAATTGATAGTGCCTCTAATATCCTCTCCATCAAAACAAATCCTGTGTACTGAAAAAATTCCACTCTTACTTACACTTCCAATATACAAGATACAATGGAAGTTTCCTCCAGTCAGAAGGATTTAACTAGTTAATGAATATATTAATTATCTGTTATGTGTGTATAATTTTCAATATCGTTCCAATAATTCTCTATGCCATTTGATTTAAATGTTTTTAAAGAAGTTGAAATAAATCCATTACTACTACTTTTTTATTTATCATTGTGGCTTTCTTCAATATTTAAATTTAATAACTTTAGTATTAGAGACACACTAAACTTGTTTAATTATCGAATAGCGTGTAACAAACAATTATCCTCTAGATGGGAGATTTTTGGTTTAGGACCGGTTAACGTATCCAAATTTTTGAATATTTTTATTAATCTTAAAAATAAAAATTATAAAAATTGCATTATTTAAAGAACAACTTCGACATCTTCGTCATCAAACTCTAATAATTCACTAAAAACAAATCAACTGCGTTTAGATTTTTTTCTAGTTTTGTTGTAAGAAATATTAATATCTAGAATCTGGAGGTATTGAATTTACTGATGACGAAACAATTGGCCATGTAAGACCAACAACACCTGAGATTGGATCAGGAAACAAAGACTCAAAATCCTGTTTTTTGAATACAATCAAAAATCAAATAGGTAGACATAAATTAACTAGAAAAAGATTGCTTATATATTTTATTTTATAGATCAGACAATAAAACATTCAGTTTTTACCATATCTAATATGTAAGAGTAATAGAGAATTTTTCCGATAAAAGAAATTTTATTATTAGCAAGACCTTCAACATTCCTCCCAATTGGTAAAATTTATCAATTCAAAAAGAAATTCATTGATTAATTTTATAAAATTTATATATATATTATTTAGATTAATAAAATTGGCAAAGATCAAAGAGGACAACTTTTAATAATCCAAATTTAGATTCTTTGTCTTCTAATGATTTTCTGGCTGAAACGTCTCAAGCTGGTCCAACTTGCAGGACTAGCAGTATGATCCATTTGATATTGATTTAAATAAATTTGAAATTTCTTCGATCAAGAAACTTCAACAACCTAACATGTTAGTTCGGCGTGATTCTATCTCATTTGCAAATCAATATCTTACATATCTCATCATGAACTCAATTGCCATACCCACAGCCGCTGCCACCACACAATCTATCACCATTATTAATCCATCTTCCAACTCTTCAACTACTATTACTGTTACCCACATTATCTTCTATATTTTTTGCACCTTCAATAGTCATGGTAGCTGCTCCAGGAAATTCAATCAGTAATGTTAATTAAAGTAACAATCACACTAGATTTATTACTCCCTTTTAGACCCACTGAATTTCTTTTTTTTTCTAGCTACATTAAAAAAGGTAATGGTAGTAATAGTAGTAGCAACAACAACAACAACAACAACAATGATAAAAGAGTATTTTGGCCAATCAAAAAATTTCTTTGACAAATTCACTTCAAGCATCCCCAAATATATTCTACTACTACTGCTGCCAATAATAAAATAATGCAGCAAAATTAGCAGCTGAAGAAGATAAAGAAGAAATACAGCTGCACCTGCCAGATTTCATGTTAAAAAGAAATTACGTGAATAGATACTTGAGAGAACTCAAGAGAAATAGCATCAAGGTTAGAACTTTTTGAAGGAAAAATCAAGAAACTTGAATTAGAAAATAAAATACCAAGAAGTTTAATTGTTGAAAAATATGCTAGATTAAACCTGTTGATAAAAAACAAAAGTTAGATGATGTAGTTGTACCATCATAATTGTGATAAAAATAAAATAAAAGTAAAAGATATAATAGTAAACAAGATTAAAAAATCAAGAAAATAAAAAAACATTGAAAAAAAGATTTTATACTTTTCTTTTATATTTCTTTCTATGTAAGACAAATTGTATGCAAACAAAATTTAATATATTACAGAAATTACAGAAACAACATTTATTATAAACCAAAGGTTTAAGTAAATAAAAAAATTTGGTCAATAATAGATAATTAATTAATTCATAAATATTTATTTGCAAATATGACTTTTATAATTAACAATTTTTTTGTTTAATAATAGTATAATTGTATTCTAATATACAATCATTTCATTATACATGTTTAATTAAAAAAACCTTCAACTTCTTTTCTCAGGAGCTTTCTATTATTTTTTATTTGAAATAATGAAAAAACAATTTTTTTTTAATAAATAAATCTGAAATCATTTATTTTTTAATCTTCAAAAAGGAAAAAAAAAAGACTATTTACTTACAGCCAACATATCACTGAATTCTTGATAAGGAGATTGTTTGAACTCAACATCCTTCCATAAATCAGGTGTCAAATAGGCATATGTCTGACCAATTGCAGCAAAGGTAGCCTTAACAAAATTACCCAAAGTTCGAGTAGATCCACGTGATGTAGTATAACAATCAGTGATGCCAGCAAGTTGTAAAAGTTTTTTGGGTGTAGGTGCTGCAACAATCCCAGTGCCTCTAGGAGCAGGCACAAGACGACACAGTACGGAACCACATTTGCCAGTAACTTTGGATGGTACAGTGTGTGGTTCACCAATCAATGAACCCCAGTAACCACGTCTAACAGGAATAATTGAAAGTTTGGCGAGGGTAATTGCACCACGGATAGCTGTTGCTACTTCTTTAGAACATTTAACGCCCAATCCAACATGTCCATTGGAATCACCAATTACAACAAATGCCTAAAAATTATTTAATTTGATGATTAGTTAATTATAAACAAATATTATCATTAATATACACATATATATGTATATGAAATTTATTGGAAAAAATATTATTATTTTTCAAAATGTAATAAAATAATAATAACTTTGAATCTAGTCCTTTGACCTGCACGTGTTTGTTTTTGAACAGGCATGATCTTCATAACTTCATCTTTTAATGAGGTTCCAAAAAAATGATCTATTATTTGATATTCTTTGACTGGCAGTGAAAATAAATAAATCTCTTCAATGCTTTTGATCTTGTTTTCTTTTACAAGACGTCCAAGTTTGGTTACTGGAACCCTAAAACAACAACAACAATGATGATGATGACAATGATAAATAATCATATTATTATGTAATTATAATTATTAATTAGCTGATTTATCGATTGACCAATCAATAAATTATACCATTCTTTATCCTCTTCTTTGCGTGCAGGGCGACGTCCACCACGTCCACGACCTCGGCCTCCTCTATCACCACCACGCCCACGACCACGTCCAAAACCACGTCCTGTTAAAATTTTAAAATTTATGGTGCATATACATTTCAAAGTCCTTTTGCAATAATTAACATCAAAAATAATTTGTTTTTTGAAGTTTACCACGATCTCCCGAGTCTGCCATTTTTAGAATTAATTAATTGGATATATAAAAGTATAACTAATAGTCACTTATTAATTGATTACTATTAGTAAGTTTTGCAAGTAAATAAATAAAACTTTACAAATAGATATTAAAATTGAATTTTGATAAAAAATTTTTTTTTATAGATTTTACATGAACCACAATTTATTGCGATTGGTTAATCAACCAGGGCCTCGAAATTGGGTTTTTTGGGGGTGGAGTTCTATTCGCAATACAAATTCTTAGTCATAGTAATAGTAATAGTAATAGTAATAGTCAATCTTTAATATTAATTCGAATTATTACTTATAAAAAATTTATTCGTTTTATTCATTTAATTCGTTTTATCCGTTTTATCCAAATTACTAGTTTATCTAGTTTATTCATTTTATAAAATATAGGTCTTATTTTTTTAATAAGATAGTTATATTTATAATCTATATTACTACTATAATTGCTAGTATTATGACTTAAGGAAAATGCCAGCTACTACTATTATCAATAAAATTGGTTATATCATTTCATCTGGAGATCCTATGATCAAACGCCTTTGACCACCGAAAAGGTTAATTGTAAATATTGATGATAGGGATAATAAGGAATTTGATGAAGTGATTGTTGAATTGAGAAATTTAGATAAACCATTATTTTACATTCTTGATAAATAATTAATCTACTGTATATCGTTATAATAATGGGTCTGATTCATTTCGTCGACAATCATTTTGTCGACAGTCATTTCGTCGACACCCATTTCGTCGACACCCATTTCGTCGAAAGTTTGTTTCATCGAAAGTTCATTTCGTCGAATGTTCATTTTGTCACAAAAAACAAACTTCATTAAACAAATTTCTCCTCACACTTCCCACACACTCCGCTTTTCCCACCTAATTTTCTTAACTAACTTCTTACACTCCTCATATCTAACTCTTTCGGTCTCTGGCTCGAGGATGAATAATTTTCGACGAAATGAACATTCGATGAAATAAACATTCGACGAAACGAACATTCGACGAAACGAACATTCGACGAAACAAACTTTCGACGAAATGGGTGTCGACGAAATGATTGTCGACGAAATAATTTTCGAATTTTCTTTTTGATGTTGGAGTTGTTCTCTAATAATACAATTTTTATTTTTCAATTTTAAGATTTATATTAAAGAAAAAGGTGCGCATATTACTTTAAAATTTATTCAATTAATTGTTTGTTACACACTGTTATTCTCAAAAAAATTTTTTTTTCAAGTTCTATAAAAAATTTATTTTATAATGTCATATGACAAGTTATTATTATCATTATCACCAGAAAGGAAGGAATTTGTATATAAAATTAATTTAGAAATGTATAATAATGCAATGGTTAATTCTGATGAAGAACATGAAAAAGATTATTTTTTTTCATTAGTCAAAAAAAATAAGGAGCTTTCTGAAATTGAAAAAAAGTTTTGTAAAGAAAAGTTTATTTATGAATTTGAATTAGAAAATGCAATTCATAAAAAAGGCAAACTGAAAGAATGTGACAAGTGTAAATTGACAAGATACTCTGACAGATTCTGTGAAGGTTGCATCAGTTTACAATTACAGAGCCTTTTCACAACTTGGACATCTGGAAATAATGTAATTGATGACTTTATTCAACAATGTCAAATGAAATCAGCTCTACCAGGCTTTATTTTAGAATGGATACCTTTTAAGCAATTTAAAAAAGTGACAAAGTTAACTGAAGGTGGATTTAGTTCAATTTATATTGCTATATGGATAAAAGGAGGAATAATTGATTATGATGAAAATAAAAAGGAATTTAGTTATTTGGGAAAGCAAGAAGTAGTATTAAAAAATTTAAATAATTCAAGTAATCCAAAAAAAGGCTTTTTTGATGAGGTTAGTAGTTGTCATTTAAAACAAAATATATAATATTGTATTATATAATACTAATACTTATATTTATTTTCAGGCAATGAATTACTGTAAAATTAAATCAAGCTTGATTGTTTCTTGCTATGGTATAACTAAATTCCCAGGTAATGGAAATTATGCAATTGTTTTAAATTATCATCCAGAAGGAAATTTAAGGGATTATTTACAAAAAAATCATTTTAATTTAGCATTAAAAGACAGAATTACAATTTTTCATTATTTGTGTGTGGCATTATATCAGATACATGTAAAAGATTTAATCCATTGTGATTTACATAGTGGTAATATATTATTGCAAGGAGGTGCTTGTTATATTACAGATTTGGGGTTATGTGGACCAGTTGATGAAAAATCATTAAATAAAACCTATGGAATAATATCATACATTGCACCTGAGCTACTTGGAGGCAAAATTAATGCAAAGAGCACAAAAGAAACAGATATTTATAGCTTTGGAATGTTAATGTGGGAAATATTTTCAGGTTGCCCACCATTTGAAGATAGAGCTCACAATCATCGTTTAATTTGTGATATATGTGAAGGTTTACGGCCACCAATATTACCAGGAATGCCTGCTGATTATGCACAAATTATGCAGAAATGTTGGGATGTGGATTCATCTAAAAGACCAACTATTGGAGAACTTTGTGATTTTTCTGAAAAAATCCTTAATAATAATAGTAATAATAATAGTAATGATAATACTACTACTAGTAGTAGTGATTTGCAACAAGCACACAAATCACATCCAGATGCATATCATACAAGCAGGATATTAGATGATGAAATTGCTAAATCAAAAAGCTTAAAGAGTTATACAAGTAATGACAATTCATTAAATGATCTTGATATCAACTCTTTTCTCTAAATGATGATTTTGATAAGGTGAATAAAAATTTCATTACTAATTAATTGGGAAATTACTATCCATTAATTATTACTAATAAGATCATTTATTATTTACTTATAATAAAGGATCGGTGATGATTTTATTGCATTCATTAATTGCACTTTATATTATATATTTTATTTTATATTTTTTTTTTGTTAAGTGAGGTCTGATTAGTTTATTTATGTTAATGATTTTCAATATACATACATATATATTTTTTACATATTATAACAAATTGGAACTAACTCGATCTAAATTACAGACTTGTATTTAAACCGCGCTATATATATTTTATTTTATAAACTATTTAAACATGTGAATCATCACGTGTTGCGCCACTCACTGAAAATTTTTATGCTGACCACATGCACACGATCCAAAAGAAATTTATTCAGTATATATCAATACAAATAAAAAAAAATACATCTGGTTAGTTATTAACACGTCTTCTTTAGGAGACTCACGTTTTGTCATCTTTGGACTCTGTCAAAAAATAAATTGTTTTTTCAAGAAAAAAAAAACCTGCGCAACACCAAGTGCCAATAATAATAAATAATTAATGACGCGTTTGTTGATCAAATAAAATTTCTTTTTCTTTCTTTTTTTGAAAATTGCCAAAAGATCAAAAGGCAAGTCAAAAAAGAAGAAAAGAGAATCACATACTCGAAAGAAGCGGGCAAGTGTTTATCAAAAGAATAGTGGTGGTTATCGCCACTCACCGTCACTCTAGTTTTATTAAATAATTTAAGGATGAAAATCAAATGTTACTAAACCCAACATTTGAAGCTGCGAGAAAGGAGTATGTGTGCTTTTAATTTTGATTTATGAAAATGTTTGCATTCAAGAGTTTTTGATAATATGGTACTATTTAAAGCGATTTAATAAAAATTGGAATTGTGAACTTGGAAGAGAGACAGTATAAATCTGGGCATTTAAAAATCTTGAACAAAAAATTCAAATTCGATTTGGATATCATTAAAGATGGCTCCTCAATTAGTTGCAACTAATTGCGGCATTGCGGCATATGAAAATTGAATTGCAGCTAATTGCGGTTCCCATCTTTAGATATCATACCATTTGAACATGGTGATATTGGAAAAATTATAAACCGTTCATCAAATATTAATAATCTTGAGGATGGTGTTGTTATATTGAAAGAATTATATCAAATTGAAAATATGTTGAGCTATGATTTTGAGTATAACATGAAATCATTTATTAGAAAGGTTAATGAAACAATGTGAGTAGTAACATCAGTAATATATCTACTAATATTATTATTAATGATTTACTCATCTATATGCACACTTATTTATAGGATAACCTGTTTCAATTTAAATAAAAAATATTTTAAATTTCTGTTATCCGAACCCACAACTATCACGAGAAATTTTTTCGTTTATTTAAAAAATCTCATCTATAATTGATAGTACAAAGATCATATAATAGGTTGTATCTTGATTTTTTTATGATGCATTTAATAAACAAGAAGGATTTTTAAGCAACAATATATTTATTTCTTTTATATTTATATATTTATATTTATATATTTATGTATATTTACATATTTACATTTATGTTTATATTTACATTTATTTTTATTTTTATTTTCAAAATTCATGTATTCATATTCATGCCACCAATTTATTTATTTATAGGAAATGTCAGATATATATATATACAGTATTATATAATGGATGATAATTCATGATCAAAGGTAAGATGTTGATTTGATGAAGTCAATGAAAAGTTGAAAAGTAAATAATATATTAATATATTAGACTGTATAATGAAAAACCAAACCTATGTATTAAAAACATTCAATAAAGAAATACTATATTAATTTTTTTATTTATTATAAACATTTTATTTTTATCAA